TCTTGGCCCTATAACGAGATTCAAGGGCTCAACAGGAGGTTGTGGAGAAGGACTGACCACGACCTCAGCACGCTTTTTCTTATTCAGGTGTTTTGAACCACTTGAAGAGCGTTTGCGTTTATGTTGGACATAAGTGACCTGGGTAAAGACAACAAGCAAATAAGTGGAGTTCAGAATAGAACATCCCAAACAACATCAGCACTACAGGACAAAAGTCCTACATTGAAATATTTGCTAAATTCAACACTTTTTTTTTTTTTTTTACAACAGGAACAGTTAATGAATTAAGTCAATTAAGCAGTTTTTCAAATCACAACAATTGTGTTCTCAGGAATGATTTTGTGTTAAACATGAACAACATGCACAAAAGTTAGCACGTGTATGAGTCTCAAGGATTACCTGGTTATGGACGCAACAGGGGCATTTCCTGTGGGCCACAGAACGAGTCCTTCTGGATCTCAGGTTGCTCTCTACATCACACTGAAACCACAGATGAGATAAACAAGAAAGGGTTAAGATTAAGCTTGAATGCAAGAAATTAAAGTTTGTTCTGCCTTTCCCTGAAACAAATAAAATTATATGTATCATTTATATAAAAAGCTGTGTTTTCCCTAAAACAGTTCCATTTACTCTTTTTACTAATGTCTTTGATTTGTCGCTTTGTCGTTTCAAATATGTAAACTCCAGGAAAAATACATATTCATTTTTTATTCTCAGTATAAAGTGAAACATGATTTGAACCCTCTACTGTTCAGAAATAAGACATGAGGCCATCAGACAACGGAGCAGCAATTCAAGAAGGACTTCTTTTACTGCATTTTACAGTCAACTACAAATAGATCAGGTCTCATTGGAATGTTTTTTTAATATTGTGCAAACCCATTTTTACAATGGTAAAAGTCAATGGGGTGTTCCTTAGATTTTGAAAATTCAATCAATAATTGGCTGCCAGTGATCAATTGGCTTTTTGCCTTTAAAGATGGGATGTTCAGGTTTAAGAATAACACAATATTGGATTATAAACAAAATACTGTCAAAGCAGAGAGTGCTTAAATAATGTTGAAAACAAAAATATGCAACCTGACTAACCACGGGGTGTCATGCAAATAAGTAAACTAAAATAACCTTTTTAAATTGGAATGTTACGTTGATAAAAATCAAAATATAATTTACATATTATAAAAAGTAGTATTATAGTAATGGTTACTCTCAAATCTGGCATGCGAACAATGTATGGAAGTAATTCAAAATAATTAACAAAACTCAATAAAAATAACCTAAATAAGGTTAAAAATGTGAAATCGATTAAGTCTGTCATAATGATTTTGTAATTAATTTTTAAGTAAAACAACTTTCTCTTTCTTAAACATTATTAAATTATATGATTGTATTTTTTAATTATATACTCATTAATTTATACTTTCAAATACGCATTGTTTCCCCTTTAAATTCCTGATATTTTAAATTATGTTACTCTGCTTTTACACTTATTATGTAGATTTTGGTTAAGTGTCCAAGTGAGAAAAAAAAAAGGGAAACAGTAGACTTTTAAAATGTTTAAATTTTACATTTTCCATGTCCTAAATAATTATATTCTTCTCTAATAGAACTGTTTTGGTTTAAATTATGATGTAATCTAAAGGATGCTGCTTTGGAGGACCCTTAGCAACCATGGGATGCTATGCAAACAAGCAATTTAAAATCACATTTTACAATTGTAAAATAAGCTTAATAATAATTTTAAAAACGAATTATCAAGTGTGAATATGAATCTCAGTTCTGACAGTCACCATGATTTTCTCCTTAATTCAAAGGTCAAACATTGTGGAGGCTTAACATGAAAATTTAGACATGAACATTAATACGTTTTGCTTTAAAAATGCAGCTCAACAGATACAAAGCAGAAGAGTTCCAACAGAAAATTAACAAAAACATCTTTTGTTGTTGCTGCTGTTCTGCACATTTTTGAAAAATAACTTTCTAAAATCTCTAAAAGTTTTTTTTAGTTTTACATATATGTGATAAATTAATATTTTAACATGTTGTTTTTACATTAACCCCAATTATTAACCATAAAAAGTTATATTACAGTAAATCTTGAATTTCTAAATAGTTACACTCAAACCTTGCATTGAAACATCTCTTGAAAGTAATTCAGACAGAATAATCAACAAAAGCAAATTAAAATCACCTTTTAGAATTATAAATATGGGTAAAAATGATCAAAAACTCAATTTCACATGTGAATTTGATTAAGTCTGACTGTCACCATAAATTTATCCTAAATCTATAGGTCAAATATTCTCCAACACTCAATTAAAACCATAGTTTTTTCAGTAAAAATGACTATCTCTTACTTAAAGAACAAAAAAAAAAATAGTATCTTCACTAATATATTCAAATACACATTTTCCCCCTGTAAATTCCTGAGATTTTAAATGATCTTACACTGCATTTACACTATGACCTGATATAGGAGATTTTAAGTAAAGCCTCCACTGTGATAAACAAATAAATATACATCATTAGACTTTTAAAATGTTTAAATCTTACGTTTTCCATGTTGGAAGTTAAAGTGGTCAGTGGAAGTCTTTAGTAATCTTTGGTTGTAGTCACAATGCAGCAAGTTGCACACAGAAGTGAAGAAAATCAACACGAGTGTTCGAGTGAATCCAAAAGAATTCTTTTCTTCTCTAATAGAATCGTTTTGGTTTAAATGATGATGTAATCTAAAGGATGCTGCTTTGGAGGACCCTTAGCAACCATGGGATGCTATGCAAACAAGTAATTTAAAATCACATTTTACAATTGTAAAAAAGGCTTAATAATAATTTTAAAAACGAATTATCAAGTGTGAATATGAATCTCAGTTCTGACAGTCACCATGATTTTTTCTTTGATTAAAAACTCAACCATTGTGGAGGCTTAACATGAACATTTAGACATGAACATCAATACGTTTTGCTTTAAAAATGCAGCTCAGCAGAGACAAAGCAGAAGAGTTTCAACATAAAATGAACAAAAACATCTTTTGTTGTTGCTGCTGTTCTGCACATTTTTAAAAAACAACTTTCTAAAATCTCTAAAAGTTTTTTTTTTTGTTTTACATATATGTGATAAATTAACATTTTAACATGTTGTTTTTACATTAACTCCAATTATTAACCATATAGAGTTATGATACTGCAAATCTTGAATTTCTAAATAGTTACACTCAAACCCGGCATATGAAACATCTCTTGAAAGTAATTCAGACAGAATAATCAACAAAAGCAAATTAAATCACCTTTTAGAATAATAAATAAGGTTAAAAATGTTCAAAAACTCACTGTCACATATGAATTTGATTAAGTCTGACTGTCACCATGAATTTATCCTAAATCTATAGGTCAGATATTCTCCAACACTCAATTAAAACCATAGTTTTTGCAGTAAAAATGACTATCTCTTAATTAGAGATCAGTAAGAAAGATAATACTGTATATTCACTGATATATTCAAGTACAAATTTTTCCCCTGTAAATTCCTGAGATTTTAAATGATCTTACACTGCATTTACACTATGACCTGATATAGGAGATTTTAAGTAAAGCCTCCACTGTGATAAACAAATAAATATACATCATTAAACTTTTAAAATGTTTAAATCTTACGTTTTCCATGTTGGAAGTTAAAGTGGTCAGTGGAAGTCTTTAGTAATCTTTGGTTGTAGTCACAATGCAGCAAGTTGCACACAGAAGTGAAGAAAATCAACACGAGTGTTCGAGTGAATCCAAAAGAATTATTTTCTTCTCTAATAGAATCGTTTTGGTTTAAATGATGATGTAATCTAAAGGATGCTACTGAGAAGGACCCTTAGCAACCATGGGATATTTTGCAAACAAGCATTTTAAAATCCCATTTTACAATTGTAAAAGGAGCTTAATAATAATCAAAAATTCATTCTCATGTGTGAATATGAAGCTTAAATCTGACAGTCACCACGATTTTTTCTTTGATTAAAAACTCAATCATTGTGGAGGCTTAACATGAACATTTAGACATGAACATCAATACGTTTTGCTTTAAAAATGCAGCTCAGCAGAGACAAAGTAGAAGAGTTTCAACATAAAATGAACAAAAACATATTTTGTTGTTGCTGCTGATCTGCA